AGCTCGGCTCATTAATATTAATAAATGAGCCGAGCTAGAACTCAATTATAAGCTCGTTAAGTAACAAGTTGAGCCGAGCTTGGCTCGTTAAGGGCTCGAGCTCGAGAGCGAGCAGCGTAAGCTCGAGATCGGCTCGGCTCCGCTTGTTTACATCGTATCCCTAACTACCAAAAGTGTTTATGAGTAAAGAAAAAAAATAGCTCTTCAATGACGTCAGAACAAAAAATTGAATTTTTGAAAAACAAAACTAAGAAAAATGCAAATCAAAGCTTACGAACTCTCACAGACACTCTCAAACGTTAAAACCTAATCATTGCAACAATCCTATCTCTGAACCTTCATGCGTGCATATATGCAAACTCCTAAATAGCAAGTAGTCTTTATATTTCCATGTATCCGACATCGTTCCATGTGGAGTAGATTTCATTCCAAATTGGTTCGACTTCTTTAAGTTTGGATCTCCAAAGATTGTTTACCAGTTTTATAGATTCTTCAAATCTTGGCCAAGATCTCCAATCTCTTGATCTCAACCTTGTCCACATTGAATGTGAGGTCCTTAAATACAATATCTTTCTTATTTAATTGAATTTAGTATCCATCTTTTGTCTACAAGAGATAGTAATATATTATAACAATATATTTATCAAGCAATGTCTGTGGGTGCCACCCGTGTTAATCATGTACAATGTATTCTTGTGTTGTAGGCTAAGTTTAGGCCCAATTTAAGGTTATGACCCATTTATATATATATATATATATATATATATATATATATATATCCCTTTTTTCTTAAAATATTTTAATAAATGCTTGAAAATCTCATGTTGTCTTCTTATTTATATACGTGGTATAAACATAATATGATTATGTTCGGTAAAATTAGCTGATAAACTGCTTTATAGCTTATTAGTAATTTTTGATCTTATCTTATGACTTGTTTGAAAGCTAACTCATATGATAAAAGTATTTTCAATGAGCTTATTATAAAAACTACCGAAAGAAAATTATAAGATAAGCTCGAACTTTTTTAAAAAGTCCGTCTTACCAAACGAAGCTTATTAAATACATGAAACTTATAAATTAACTAAATAAAATATAAGCTAACTTATTTGTCTACCAAATATAGCTTATCTATGCTCATGATCTGAGTATGTTTTTCGTATAATATTTGAAGATATTAAAAAAATTCGTATAATATTTGAAGATTTATGTCTTTTTTTAATGAGGACATGAAACCATAATTAAAGAAGAACAAATATTTTTTTAAAAGAGATAAGGGATGTCATTAATTCCTTGACTATTTGGTTGAATGAATTGCAGAGGTGAGGAACAAGTATTATCCAACCTTTGTTCTGCTTGGACCCAGAAAGCCCAATGGGCTTAGGTTGACCTTGAATTTAAGGTTTATTTAGCCGCCCAATGGGGTTTAGATTCGTTCTGTCAATAAGGCTAAGCTGGATTGAATGGCAACCAAATAAATGAAATAGTTGGTGTCCAGAGTCCAAACCCAAAATGTGCTTTTAATGGGGGGTCAACAAACCATCAACCACCCTAGTTAGCATATCTATTAATATATGTCCATCAATGAATATATACAACCATATCAGCTGATAGACATATTAACTCGTGTCTCATTACATAAATGTGGGACTAATCAATTTCAAATAATTTAATTTACTAATTGTTAGACGAGGAAAATCATAGTCACAAAGGTCGGTTAACCCCTCCATAAAGTTGGGATTCTCCAAGATCTGGTTCATAGTGATAGATGCAGAGGGGAGGTTTTCTTGGTGGTTGTTAGTGTTACGAGTGGCGATGGTATGGTTTGACGTAAGCATTTTTGTTATTTTGGAGTTTAACAGTGGTGAGTAGATGAGATGGAAAGAGGGATACGAGGGTTCGACTGAATGATAACATGAACTACTTTAAAGTTTAGTTGTTTGACATGCCCCTTCCTCTAGCCTAATTTGTTGTAGTCGAAATCAACAGATTTACACTGAAGTAGTTTAACAAAAAATTAAGAGTAAAAAGACAAAAATTGAATGCAAAATAAGAATTTAGCACAAAAATTGAATGCTCAAGAATTCATTATTGATAAGGAGGGAATTGAATGCTAGTGTTAATACACTACCAAGAATTGCTCTGGCGGAAGATTTAAATATTTATTTTTCAATGATTTGCTCTAAGTGCCGAGGGTTGCTATTTATAAAAGTAAGAGGGTAATAAACAATATTATCCACGGGGACATGCGACATGCTTTCATAGGTTTGCCATAGTAAGTTGTTCAAGTTATTGAACAACTTACATAAGTTGCTAGATTATTTTGGATAGTACGAATCTGTTATGAGCAGCAACCCTTTTCACATTGAGTTTCAGATCGACATTAGTGATGCTAATTGTGGCAGAAGTGAGAAGTGATCTTCTTAAGCCGTGGCGAGAAGATGAGATCGGCGTTTATTTTTTTCTCTGATGCATTCAGCCGATGTGTCCTTAAAGGAGTCTTTGTGTTAGTGTTATATTCAAGGTCCTTCAAGGTTACACCCCTGTTTTTCACCGCAAGAATGAACTAGCTCTGATCAGAACATCTCGACAAGAAGTTTTATCGAAATATTTTTCCTTAAATTTTTCGTTTGAAGTAAATACATTTTTAACTGCTTATTCATTCCGTTCTAAATGATCATATTTCTAAATTGATTAGCTACAATTTATGTAACCAATTTACAATATTGGTACGATTAGTTGGAGAATGGGGCATACAATTTAAAGTCGCTAATCCAAGTCAAAAGTGTGTTGAACCAGCTTTTCCAGTTAAGTCCAAAATTGTGGCATAAAGTCACAAAGTTATAAGCAACTTAAACGTGGTACGTACCATTGTTTAATATTTGATTAAGATACACAACGATTTTATCTCAAGTCCATTAAGCAATCTGATTTTTATACCAATACATGTGACGTTTTTGGACTTTTTTCCAATTATATCTATCTTTATTTCATTACCTTTTTCTTAGGATGCTAAAAAAAATTAACCTCTACAATATTTTAGGCCAAATTTTCTTAATTTCAGTGTGCGGGAAAAAAAAAAGTTCGCTGAAATAGAAAATGACAAAAATAAATAAATAAATAAAGGGGCGGCCCACGCAGAGGGCCTGAAGCAGTGCTACTACCGTGCACCCTGGCACACCTAGCAAGGTGTGCCAAGACAGTTTAAAATGAGCATGTTACTCTATAAAATGAACATGTGTAACAATGTTTACACATGTTCATTTTATAAAGTAACATGTTCATTTTAAAAAAGCATTGACACACCTTGCTAGGTGTGCCAAGGCGCACCTAAGTATTTGGTGGCCCGAAGTGCCCATGGGCCTTCCCCTTTTGCAGGCCGTGATTTATGGGCAATTTATACACCCACATTTCTTACTTCACACTCATGCAATAAAGTTTATAAAGTTTTGATTCACATCATATTATATATTCAGATATTGCATTTCATTTATTTAATATTGTTATTATTTTTGGTTTAAAGATATATATATATATCATGTGCATGAATCTTAAATATATTTGGTTGGTTTGGTTGACTCTCTTTTGCTTGAACTCAACTTCAGCTGGACTCATGTGAGTGCAGAGGCAGTAGAGCGTGCTCAAAGATCATCATATTTTGCAAGCTTGATTTTATAACGGCCTTTAGTGAAATTTTATGAAGTTCAATTAATAACATCAATATATACAAATTAAATAAATGCTGCTAAAGAAAATGGTAGAACCTTATTCTCATCATGCTTTTAATTTATAACCCCATTCCCATGCTTTTATAGCTTAATAATTACTTTTGAAACACACCGACTTTTACAACTTTTGTAAGATTTTCGAATTTATGATGCTTCATCTGTTTCATTATATTTGGATATCAAGTTTGTCATTAGCATAGCACAAAACTCTGCGCTCCACTAAAGGACTAAGCACAGTGAGGTTGACTGTCAATCAAGAAAAAGGTCAGCAAATGAGTTATCATCCTCGATCATTTTTCTTCATCCAGTCAACTAGCTGACATCCTCACCAAGTCCCTCCTCTCTGTAATTTTTTGTCACATTATAATTTATATCCAAAATGAACATCTATATATAACATACATGCTCTTCTTGCGAGAGATACTAGTTGGGTATACAAACAAAATCTAATTGGTCTATAAGTTTGTGGCTACTGTTGATGAGACAAATCCAACGGTGAGTCATCAGACTAAACCTTACATCAAAAGCACCAACATGGCCCCACATGCGTATAGTGAAAGAATGAATTTGACCCCAATTTATTTTAGACAAAAAATTAAATAGGAAAAAGAACTCCAATTGAGATGAAATGTTGTGGGTATGACAGGTTCAACACTACGAATATGCTGGATCATCCACCTAAACCGGATGCTAGATGACACCAGAGTTAAACCCCCAAAAAAAAAAAAAAACCTAAAATACTTTGGACGAAAATTGTAAGGGCAAACCAAATGTTAATTGTGCAAAAAATTACTGGTACGGCTGTCTCGATAGAGATGAATCTAATGGTAGGTCACCTATTTGGATTATAGGTCGACAGTGATCGGAAATGGCCAAGTATACCAATTAGTGATTTTCTTTTAAGTAAAATGTCACAAAAAAAGTTATGTAGACAGTGTAAAATCGTGGAATAATTAAGTGTAACTTTTCCAAGTTGAAATATCAATGCTTTTTTAAAACAATGTAAAATAAATTATTCAATATGTTTAGGAAAATACATGATATATCATTGTAAAAGGTCCAAATTACACCCACCTAATGGAAAAGGTGTATCCCACTATCCTCTCCATCCAAACTCCTCTTAATATATATATATTAGTAGTGTGCGAATAAATCACACCATTGTTCACACACACACACACACACTTTCAAAATTTCGCTTTGTGCGTTCTCTGTGTACGTGTGTGCGTGAGAGAGAGAGAGAATCGCAACTCACCTTCAAAACAACCTCACATGGTCATGGACTGGTTCTCGTGGCTCTCGAAGACCGGGCTCGACCCGACCCTTGTCTACGAGTACGGCCTCGCCTTCGCCCAAAACGAGCTCGACCACGACGACATCCCCTACTTCAATCACGAATTCCTTCTCAGCATGGGCATCGCCGTCGCCAAGCACCGCCTAGAGATCCTCAAGCTCGCCGCAAAACACAAAATCCGCCGCCCCCGCGACCACGATCTCCCTCTCGCCGTCTCCCGCATCCTCACCGCCGTCCGCCACACGAGGAGGCGCCTCTCCCGATGCGTCCGGACGTGGATCCGCCGCAGCGACGAGTCGTCGGCGCTGGCAATCGTACCGCGGCCGAGCGGCAGCGGGCGGTGGAAGAGCTCCGCCGCGGCGAAGCGGGAGGCGCGGCTGGCGGTCATCAAGCCGAGTAAAAAACCGCTGCTGCTGACGAACGGAAGCCCGATGCTGTTCGGGAGCTCGAGGATCAACAGTTTCGCGAGCCCTAATTTGGATTGGGAGGCGGAGGAGAGGGATTTCGGCGGCGGCGATCGGAAATTGGAGGGTGGGGATCGCGAGGAGTACTGGTCCTCTGCGGTTGAGAAGATACGGTGGGATACAATGTTCCAGAATTTGAAACCTACCTGAAAATTTTCTGTTAATTCTTTTTTTAATTTAATTTGCGTGCATTTACATTTGTGTCTAATTTTCTTGGCCCAGTTAGTGGGCCGTGGTGAAAGTCCACTGGTTGGCCCAGTTAGGATCATAACCCTGTGTATGTAGGAGTGACGAAATTGTCCCCTGCTTTTGAAGGACCTTCGTCTCATATAATAGACTCTTGTTTGTAACTCTCTTAGTTTGTGCTGTGATTGATGAGGAGATTCATTATTTCAGTAAAAAATAGTATGTGTTTTTATTTTTATTTTTTTTTTGAAAAAGTTGCCTGTGTGTTTTGTATTTTATTTTTCTTCTCCAAAGAAATGGCTAAATGTGAATATAAACTCTCTAAAAGCTTACAAGTCCCCCTCATTGTTGCGTCTTTTGAAAAAAAGAGCTCCCAAACGCGTTTGCGATTGATTGACTCCACTCCACTATAAATTAAAATAAAAATCGTTATGGTTATGTTTGGGAGTGGTTGAATGGGGAACATCATGATTTTCGTAATTTTCAAAGGTAGAGTGTTTATGTAACTTTAGGAAGTTCTAGTTAGTCGAGCTCAAATTTGTTTAATTAACGAACTGAGTTCGACTTGATAAAGACTCAACTCCAAGAAATTTGTTTAATTTACAAACTCAATTTGACTCCATAAAGACTCAACTCCAAGAAATTTGTTTAATTTTACAAACTCAATTTGACTCGATAAAGACTCGACTCCGAGCTCGTATACTAGAAGCTGACTTTGGTTTGCTGCTTTAATCATAACAAAAAATACTAGAGCCAATTTTGCACCGTGGAGAGAGAGAGAGAGAGAGAGAGAGAGAAATAGAATCCATGGGGGTTATAAATAAGTTAACACTGAAATGATTTAATTTCAATGTCAAAATCTCAAGGACACACTTGCATGCATTATGAGGGAGGTCCCATTGGGAGAAGAATTACAAGCTCATTCGAGGAAACAAAAAATAAGCATATTCATACCACAAATGCTATGTTCTCTATATTATCATAACATTATAAGAACTTGGCAATTTTTACAACACAAAAATTACACAACATAGACGCAACATTCACAATACCAACGTCACACACACACAAAAATTGACGACTTCCATAAATCTCGCCTGGTTCTAAAACCATGGGTAATCACCAAAAAAAAAAACTCAATAGTACCAAAAACACCCCTCTCCAATCGAATCAATGACCACCTTGAGGTATGCGAAACGAACCCCCGGCATAAAGCATCTCGTAAACGGACCTAATCCGAACCGTGAGAACCACGCTCAGGAGGGTCCCTAGCCCACAGAGCCCAGCCAGGACGAAAAACGTGAGGCGGAAGCAGTTTGGGCCGAGGCAAGACGAGCCCAACTGCTTGGCAGCCTCCGAGTCATAGACCCAGCCTGCAAGCCAGCCCGAGAAGAGAAGGGCCCCAACCGGGTTCCCGAGCTGCATGAAGTTGAATATGATGCCAAAGTGCTTCAGCCCAAATAATTCTGATGCAGTCGGGATCATTATCCCGAACTGGACACCATAGCAAATCCCAAGCAGTGCTGTGGCTGCATAGAGGGTCCCGCCTAAGGCCGATGCATATAGGAGAAATGTGAGGATCATGACTGCTTGTGTGACCGCCATCCAGAATGTACGAGGGATTGTCCGTGACCTGCACAAGGGGTTGAAAGCAAGGAGAATAAAATGCAATAAAACCAAGCAAAACCTTCGTTATAAACTTCACAGCATTTCAATCAGTATTCAGCAAACACCAAACAATTAAAAATAAATAAATAAATAAACAAAATTATAATCATGTTACCTCACGAAATGTTCAGACACGACCCCTGCCCCAAGACGACCCAAGAAATTGCAAAAGCTGAACAAGCTCAGCAAAATCGTGGCATCATCCACCCCGAGCGAGACCCCGATCTGCGCCAGGTTATTAAGCACGGTCACACCCGAACCAACCCCGAGAAAGTAAACCATCCACAAGAGCCAGAAATCGGCCTTCACGACCGCCTCTCGGAACTTGAAATCCTCTCCCCTCCTCGGCCTCCTCTTGCGTGCCTTCACCGCCCCTTCACCCACTGCCAGCAGCAAATCCACTTCCGACAAGTCCTCCGGCTCGTAAAAGCTCCCGAGGTAAGCTGCCGACGAGGACGGTCTCAGCAGTGGGTCCGCCTGACTCGACTCATTATCCCCGTCCCCACCAACTAAATCCTGCTGGCTTGCATTTTTACTAATCTCCGGAAAAAACGTCATTTTCAAAGGGATTGCAAGAGGGGCCATCAATAGCACGACCATGATGGCAATAAATACGTACGATATTGTATTCCCGAGAGACATCAAATCTTTTAGTATGGTTGTTGTTAATAGATAGACGGCGAGCACGAGGCTAGCTGCCTGGATGAAGACAAAGTGGATGTGCTCGGATGGGCTGTCACCGGAGGCTGGTGTGCAGGGGCGTACGAAGTACATCATGAGGAGGCCGATTGTGGGGATCCCTAGGGTTAGGAGAAGGAGGTGGGCCGGGGGAGAGCTGCCGAGGAGCATGGTGTAGATCTCGGTGAAAACGGCAGCACTCAGGCCCACATAGCCCTTGAGTATGCCGGCGACTGTGCCCCGGCTGGCTGGGAAGTTGCGCATGTTGGTGACGAGGACGGCCGTTCCCAGCCACGCGCTGCTGTTCGTGGCCACACATAGGGCGGCCCACAGCTGTTTTCAGGTGATCGTGTGAATTATTAGGTAAGGTGACTAAAAAAAAAAGATTAGAAAAGAAAACTGGATGTGTGTGCATGAAGTGCTTAATGGGAACGAGTAAATTTAACAATGACAGATGCAGGCTATGCTAGAGCGGAAAGTAAAATGATGGAACTTAATGTTTTTCCATGTACTATATTTAGGTGCATGCTATGTTGAGTGAGCATTGTGATAGTTCTTATACTGCGATAAGCGATTGCGTTTGACGTCATGGCATGATAGCTAAAATAAAATCGCTACTTTGAAGAAAGAATATAGGTTTTTTGGTGATATTAGGGCGTAAAAAGGGAACTAGTAGCAGTGAATATCAAGAACTAAAATACTTTCTCCTTTCGAGTAGTAGGAGATTTTTTGTAGGCCTGTTGGCTGATATTAGATGGACAAGTCAGCAAACGCATTGATTTTTGTTATAGTGTCTCCCATCGAAAGTGACGAGGACGGGGAATTATTGTATACAAGTGGTTATTGAATTTTACATGAGGAAATTTGATGATTCAAAAATTCGATCAATAGTAAGAGAGGTTGGAAAAGAGGTGTTCTGCAGCATACCTGACAACCTTCAATCTTTTTGAAGTTATTTTGTTATACAGATAACAGGGTCAGTTTCTAATACTTGAAGTTCCATGAAACCTATCCTCACAAGTTCAATGGAATAAGAAAAATCTAAATATTGTGGGAACACTGTGAACAGAAAATTTTGTGGCCATTTTTAAGTTAATTGGTCGTTTAGAAAATTTTCTACACTAGAAGAACCGCTGCTTGTCTTAACCAAATTTTCTACACTAGAAGAAGATGAGGATACGCCCTTCGTTTTCTCTGTAATGCTGATTAGCACCTACACTATATATAAGCGAAATTTGCCAAACCCAACAAAGAAAAGATAAACAAGAAAAAGACAAAATGCCAATCCTAAGCTTAACTTCCTAAGAGAACTATGTTGAGAAATTGTAGTGGATTAGCCTAAAGAGTATCAAGCTATCTGTTTCAAATTCCTCTCAGACAAACGCAATCCTACGGAACGCGTTGGCTTCTCGAAATCAAAGACAAATATGACAACTTTTTCAAAACAAAATTCAAGATAATGAAATCACATAATATAACATTTCTACACAGCAACACATCCCCCTTCATTCACATATGCACTTACTATAGCAGATCACATACATGATGTAAAAAGTAAAAATAAAAGAAATTGTCAGGAACCAAATTCAACAGGACAATGAACCTACATGAAAAAAATCAAAACTTTGAACAACAAACGAAAAAAAACAAAACTAGAAAAGAATCACTTACAACCCAGTACGGCAAAGACTGAACAGTCTGGCTAACGGCAAGCCACAGAACACCATAACCCAGAAAGGAAGCGCAAACGCCGACAAGAAGAACAGCCCAAGGAGGGAACTTGTTGCAGGCAATTCCAGGCAAAATCCCGACATTCTCCCCGATATCGTTGGCGACCCCAAGAATGGTGAGCTGCTGCTGATTAAAGCCCAAGACTGATTTCAGCGAGGGAGAGTACAAAGGGAAAGTGTAGGCATTACCTGCGGCTATTTGGACCCAGACCGCAGCCCCTAAGCCCACCCATGGCGGCCTGCTCCCTGCTTTCAGAGCCACCATTTGATCTTTCCCTACAGTTCTTTTCTTTGAGTGTGTGAGTGTGTGTTGGAAACGGAGAATTTGGGGAGAGTCGTGGAGAATTTGGGTTATATAATTGGGGGTTAGGTCGCAGTCGCTTTGATGCATGTTGTAAAGGTCCGAATTTCTAGACTCTATTACGGACATCTACATTATTATTTAATTTTATTTATTATTATTATTACAACCAAGTAGGGCTGTAAATGAGTCGAGCCAAGCTCGAGCTTAAGATGTTTGAGCTCGAGCTCGAGCTCTTAACGAGCCGTGCCGAGCTCGGCTCGTTAAGTAAACGAGCTAAAAATCGAGCTCGAGCTCGGCTCGTTAAGGCCTCGAGCTCGAGCCTTAACGAGCCGATCTCGAGCTTTAACGAGCCGAACTATAAAAAATTACATAATTTTCACTTTTCGAGCCTTGACGAGCCTTATAGAGTCGAGCCGAGCTCGACTCGTTAACCAAACGAGCTTTAAACGAGCTCGAGCTCAACTCGTTAAGGTTTCGAACTCGAGCCGAACCGAGCCTTAACGAGCCGAGCCGAGCCAGGCTCGTTTAATTTAACAGCACTACAAGCAAGGAGTTGGTAGTAACGACATACATTGGTGGGATAATAGCAAATGAGAAATGTTATAGGTACATAACATTGCACATAGAAGAGTATATAACACTCGCATTGAGTGAGTCCATAAAAAAAAAAAAAAATCAAGTGAATCTCATTCCATGTGAGTGTTATGTACACCTCTATTACATTTGTTATATACTTATAGAATTTTTCATAACAAATCATGTGAACTTCTTTTTTTTTGTAACATAAACGAAGAATTTGATAAAACAACTCAAAGCAAACAGCATATACAGAATTCGGTGGAAGGGAACAACCCTCGCTTGCAATAATCTTTTTACGTCACTTTGATTCATAAATGTATGTATTTGTGTATGTGACACTCAACAAAAAATAGAATGAAATCAGTGATATATCGAGCTTTCCCCAAATTCAAAACCCTTCTTCCCCAAATCGCTGACACCGTCTCCATTTTTTTCACTTTCAGTTCCCCTTCCTCGGCGAAATCGGGACTCGGCTAGTGGTCACCCTTGGCCGCCCGTCCCTCTCTCTGCCGTTGTACGCCTCCCGAAGTCCTCATCTGCGATGGTGGACGCCGGTCCGGACGACCTTTCCTTCTCCTGGTAAGGCCACACAGATTTCGGTTGTTGGCTTCCCTGAGTTGCATCGATTTTGGGTGGAGTGCGGGTTAGGGGGTGGGGCGAAAATCTGGTGGTTCGTGACGCTTGGCGTCGGGGCGGTCAAAGCGGAGGAGC